CCTGGATCCCATCCCTGAGCCCCATCCCTGAGCCCCATCCCTGGATCCCATCCCTGGATCCCATCCCTGAGCCCCATCCCTGGATCCCATCCCTGAACCCCATCCCTGGATCCCATCCCTGGATCCCATCCCTGGATCCCATCCCTGGATCCCATCCCTGGTCCCGCTGTCCCGGGCTCACCTCGCAGGCGGGTGTGGAACTCTGGGGACAGCACCTGGCGCAGGTGAGGGGGCCGGGGCTGCTGCAGCACACACAGGGACCACACCACGTCTGTCAGCAGGTGCATGTCCAGCTCCTGCCCCTGCAGCCGCTCGTGCACCTGCACAGGGAGAGCACCGAGCTCCAACACCTGCACAGGTGTCCCCACTGCCCCTCAGGTGAGGCTCCAGGGTGCCTGTCAGGTGATCCCATGGCCTCTCACCCCGTGGATTCAGCCATCCAACACCCCCTTCCCCATGGGAATGTGCCAGGGGAACACCTGTGCTCTGGGACAGGTGACAGCTTGGAGGGGTCACCTGGAGGAGATTCCAGGGCCTCTCCCGGTGCCAAGGTGGGAGCTGGGAGGGATTTGGGACAGCTGGAGTGCCAGGACGTCGAAGTCGGGGACTTTGGGACAGGAATCTGTGGCTGTGGGGGGTCACTGAGGTCCCTCCCCACCCAGATCACTTGGGAATTCCAGGGACATCACCATGGAGAAGAATTCCTCGCTGGAGCTGGGCTGGAAGTTGAGGCGGGCGAAGGAGATGAGGATCCCACAGAGCTGGGTCACGGACAGGTTCTGAGTGTTCTCCAGGCAGTACTGCAGGAAAAACGGGAATTTGGGGCTGTCCAGAACAGGGACAGGTGGGACACATCAGCCAGAGACACCTCCCAGGTGAGAAAACCAGAGTGAGGGAGTTGGGGGCTTTATCCAGGTACGACGGGGAGTTCTGGAATAGCCCAGTGCAGATGGGAAAGAGCAGAGGGATGAACTGGGATGGAACTGGGCCAGAACTGGCAGGAAACTGGGAGAAGAGCAGCAAGGAAAGGTTGGAAACAGCAGCAGGGACCGAGCTAGGTGGGACAGCACAGGTGATGGATCCCTGGGATCTTATCCAGCCACAAGTCCTTTAATGTCAGTCTGGATGGGGAAGGGCACGGAGATGAACTGGGCCAGAATTGGGCCAGAACTGGGACAGGACAGCACCAGCACTCACAGCTGGAGGGTCTGGATGGAGCCAAATCCAGCAGGAAATGATCCCCAGTTCCCACTGGGAAATGGGACAGAAGAGGGGCCCTCACTGCCACCTGCCCCAGGTGACAAGAGCCCAGACCGCTGACAGGAACCTGCTCTGCACAGCTCCTGCTGGGCAAGGTGACAACACCCCCTGCACAGCTGAGTGTCCCCTGCCACCCCACGGCCAGGTGAGTCCCCCCTCGTCCCCCCAGGCTCACCTGAGCCATGGCCTCGGCGAGGGGCCGGCTGAGCCAGCGCAGGCTGGCGAAGGAGCGGGCACAGCGTGACACCTGAGCCGGGCTCAGGCTGCCCAGGTGAGGCTGCAGCTCCAGGGACAGGCGGTGCAGCACCTGCGGCTGCTGGAAGTTCAGCTTACCTGTGCAAGGGGGGACAGCTCAGCACGGGGGGCTCTAAGTGCTCTGTCCTGTGCCCCCCACATCTGGACAAGAAAGGCTCCAGGGACACCTGAGAGCCCTCCCATTGCCTAAAAGGGCTCCAGGTGAGCTGGGGAGGGACTGGGGACACCCAGAGTGATGGAATGGCCTCACACTGAGCTCCCAGGGGTTTGGGACACCTGCAACGACAGCACACCTGGAACAGCCTCCTAGATCACCTGGGATTTGTCACCTAGTGCACACAGGGGACCTACAACACCCACCCCCTGCTCCCACCCCAGGACTGGGATAACCCACTGGGGCTCACCTGAATCCCCTCACCAGGGAAGAGGAAAAGTCTGGGACCTCCAAGCTCACCTGGCCCCTCCACCCACTGCCAGCCCTGCCAGTGTGTCCCCAGCCCTGCAGGTGGCCCTGGCACTCACTGTAGGCGAAGAGCAGGTCGGTGATGACGGGCAGGGGCAGCTCAGCAGGTTTCTGCAGCAGGTGGTAGGACAGGGCCCGCAGCAGGGGCACACAGCGGCGCTGCTGCAGCGCCAGCGCCAGCGTCACACGGCGCAGCTCGTCAGGGTCAAACTGCTCCGCCAGCTCCAGGGCCTGGGGACACAGGGACAGGTGAGACAGGGACACAGGGACAGGTGAGACAGGGACACAGGGACAGGGGAGACAGGGGCAGGGTCAAACTGCTCCGCCAGCTCAAGAGCCTGTGACAGGGGAGACAGGGACTCAGGCGACAGGGACAAATGAGACATGGGACAAGTGGGAGAGGGGAGGCAGAGTACAGGTGGTGCAGGTGACCCCAAGTGACCCCGCCTATCCCAGGCTGAGGGCCTGGCTCCCCCCCCCACACCTGCACCCAGGTGTGCGGGTCCCACCTTGTCCTCCAGGCGCTCCATCAGGGTGGGGGACAGGTGTCCCACCTTGGCCATGAGCGTCACCACGGTGCGGGTGCCGTCCAGCTCGGTCCAGCGCAGCTCCAGCTTGCGCAGCACCTCGGGCAGCAGCAGGCTCTCGTGGCCCTGCCCCGCCAGGTGCTCGGCCAGGTGCACCAGCTGCCGCAGGGGCAGGCGCCGCAGCCGCCACAGCACCTCCTGCTCCACCGAGCGCACCTGGGGCCCGCCCTGCGCCAGCCCCAGCGCCGGCAGGCTCCGCAGCAGCTGCACCAGCGGCGTGTTCCACACCTGCGAGATCTGGGATGGCACAGGGACAGGTGAGGGATAGGGAAAACAGAGTGTTCCACACCTGGGAGATCTGGGACAGTGACAAGTGTGGCAGATGTGGGACAGGGGCAGCAAATGTGGCCTTGGGGCACTGCTCATCTACCTGTGCCACCTGCCAAGTGTGTCCTGAACACGCTGGAGGGCCCCAGGCACTGCCACCCTGTCCCACAGATGTGCCCTGAGCGGGCAGGTACAGCCCAGAGCACAGCAGAGTCCCCAGCAGCACCTCCCAGGTGTGTCCCGCACAAGCAGGTGCAGTGTGGGGCTCACCTGGAGCCTCCCTTACCTGCGCATCCACAGCAGAGAGGAGCTGCTGGAAGCGCGGGTCCCCGCGGATGCCCTCGCTGTTCAGGCGCTGCTCGCGGGCCAGGCGGGCGAGCCGGGTGATGGCCAGCGCGGCCAGGTTGCTGCTCAGGCCCGGGCCCCGGCTCACCTGCAGCAGCTCCTGGGGGCTGGCGGCCGCCCGGATCAGCTCCCGCAGCTGCTGCTCCGCGCCGTTGTCCCTCGGCCGGGCCTGCGGCCCCTCGGCCCAGCGGGGCGGGCAGGTGCGCAGGGCAGGGCCCGCCGGGGGCCCGGCCGGCGCCGGCAGCAGCAGCAGCCGCCGGCAGCAGCGGCGGACCAAGTGTGCGGCCATGGGGCAGCGGGGTCAGCGCCGCATCCCGGGAAAGCTGCGGGAACGGGAGCGTTGGAACAGCGCGCGGCCCCGTACCGGGATGGTTTCCCTCGGTGCCGGCCCCGCTTTACTGCCCCGCCGTGCCCTGAACTCCCCCCGGGACGAGCCCCACTAGGTGCTGGTCTCCCGGTCCTGGCCTCCCCCCGCTCCACCCCTGGGTTCCGGTTGCCCCGCTCCTTCCCCGGGCCCCGCTTCCTCACCCCCGTGTCCCAAGATCTCGATCCCATCCCTGATC